TGTAGGTCGTAGAAAATGTAGGTCGTAGAAAATGTAGGTCGTAGAAAATGTTTTGGGTCGTTCCGGAATCACCAGGTCGTAGAAACGCGGGTCGTAGAAACGATATAGACCCTCGACGGAAGACACTTAATTCTTGAGCTTGAGGATGACGATTTTTTCACTTTCGAAAAATCATTTCTAGATATGTGTAAGGCTGACAAGTGTTTAAAAAGTAGACCTGATGAGTTCATGCCCATTTTTGAGTTTGAAAATCCAAAGTTTCGCAACAAGCGAACAGAATTACAGCGGAACCGTCCCATTCAAAACGAACAGGAGATTTTTGTGTTGTGGGAACCTCTAAAAAAACAGGTAAGAAAGATTTCATACACTTTAAGAAAGGATACTTGGATCACTGGCTCATACTGTTTCATTCTCAGGTGGTTGTTCAGCCCCAAGCTGAGGGAGGACATGACTCTAATGGCCCACAAACACTAGGAATAGAAGAGAACAAGAAAGTTATCAGCCACGAGTAAGTACAAAGAAGTCATCCACAAAGGCACGCCGCTTATGTTACTAATACTTACCATTATTCCAGAAGTGATCCAATTCATCATGATGACGAATTGAATACAAGCTCATCAGGCGATGAGATGGATTTTACGGACATACAAAAATATTACAGTGCAATCGAGTGGGAGCAGATGTGTTTGTATGATAGGAGGGCAGAAGCAAAACGCTTAGAGAAGCACAAACTTTTAGAATCAATGAGTATGTGACAAAAACTTAAATTTTAAATTGTATTTTGTCAGTCATTTGGCCTCATTTTATTTATCTCTTTAAAAATTTAACAGAATTGACAGACAAAGAATATGAACCCTGCACACAAAGAAATAAACCAGGAAAATCATCAAAATCAAGAAGTGAGAAAGATAAATCTACTGAAAACAAAATACTATATCCACCTTTTAGCCTCTTTGTGTGTTAAAGTAATAGGTTTAAAAGGTCAAATTTTAATTTTATCTTTTTCTATACAGGAAAATGTAAGCCCCCCTCATAAAAAAAAGGTGAGCAGAAATATATCTTTCAACTCTTGAGTTAAAACTTATCTGAGCCCAGTACTGATTTACATCTCTTTACTCAGAAACAAGTTCCAGTCAGAAGATCTACAAGAAAAAGACAGATAACTACAGCAATTGAAGATGAGGATGAGGAATCAATATTTTTTGGAAGTAATGCAACTCCAGGTCTAAAAGAAAA